TCCTGCTCATTTTTGGGTCAGCCCACACTGGGAGAAAGTAAACCTGCCCCAGGCCTGTTTCTACCTGGGTTTAGCAGCCGGAGAACTTGGCTGTATACAGAAAGATTTAGGCACCAGATGCCCTGGTCTCTGGGACTAGCCCAGGATTGCAGCAGAACAGGAGAGAGGCCAGGACCCCTGCCCCTGCCCTGTGAGGGGTAACTGGAGCAGAAGTTGCATGCAGTGAGTCATGGACATGACCTTCTGCCTTGCCCCACACAGGTCCACCACTAAGCATGTATTGTACCTCTTCCAGGAAGCCGGAGCCTGCAGGACTCAGTGCCGTGGGGGAGTTGGGGGTGTAGGGGTCTGCATACAGCGGGGACTTGGGCAGGGGCGTCTTCTCCAAGGAGCTGGATGCCATGGAGTGCTGACTCTCAGCCAGGCTCCAGCGAGTGAGCTGAAAGGAAGAACCCCCGAGTCAATGCCATGTCCCGCTGCCCGTGTTGTGACTCGCTTAGCAAAGGTGGGAGTGGAGCTCTCCCCAGATTAGGACTCCACCTGACACTTGAACTAACAGACCCCCGCCTCAGTCACTGCCCACCACGGGCAACTGGACCCTTCCACCACCACCCTCAGCACCAACAGGAACTGTCTGAGCTAAAGACATCTCCTTTGGCTGTAAGTCATAGCAGGCTACTATTCTCCCTCAAGACAGAGGGAGGAAGACATGGCCTCATGCACAACCCAGGACGCACCACTGTCCTCTTCCCAAGACCAGCCCCCATCATACAGGGCCCCATACAGGCTGCCAGGAGAGGTTAAGGCACCCATGACTCTACCCTGGCTCTTGGTCTACTGCTGTGGCATGAGAGACACCCGGCCCATTAACTGCAGAGCTGGCCTGGAGGGCAGGAGCTACTGGTTTTGCTTGTGCCCAAAGCTGCCTGAGCCACTTTGGTCGAAACAATCCTCCCCACCCAGACCATCAGGATTCCCGGGCAGCGCAAGCCCTTACACTGCTCAAGTCCAGACGCAGGGGGGGAGCCTGGCGCTGCTCGGAGCTCAGTGAAGAGCATGGTTCATTGTACACAGGGGACAGGTGCTCGCCATTGGGGTTTTCAGCAGCAAGGTGGCATGCATTCCTCTCTGCGTCCTGCGTGCCGGGCGGGGGCTGCTGTGTGGAGGGGCCGCATTTGCCCTTGGACTTGCGGGTGCTGCCGCCCCTCTTCAGCTCTTGTTTCGACCAGCTGGGGTTCGCCAGGCACTGCAACCAGATGGCAAATGCTTGGGTCAGCCACTGTAACATGCCCCAGACACATGCCACCCACGTGCCCCATGAGCATGAGAATGGCAGTGCTCACCAAGGTCCCTCCCCAGGCCCACTGCAACATCCAGTGGCCTTGGCCAGACTGCAGACCCCATGCCCGTGGCAAGGGGTGATAACCCGATTGCTCGAGTCATGTAGAATGAGATGGAGTAAGTCCCTGGTGACTGCACTGATGGGACAGTGATGCTCTGGCCATAAGGAGATGGGCATTGGGGACTAGTGCTCTGATGCTCCTTACCAACCAACTGGTGTTTGCTTAATGGCATACTAGTTTCCCCCCACACCTGCACCCAGGATAGCATGCAGAGGTGGTAGGGGACTAGTGGAGATAGGAAACCTGTCTGAGAGCTGCACATGGGCCCACCTAGGCATTATGGGAGGCAGAGTTTCTTGCTAAAAAACACCATACTGTGTTATTAAGGGCCAACTCTCAGCTCCTATGGGTGAATGGGGGGAATCAATTTAACCCTGGCTTCTCCTGACCTTGGAGCCCCTCCATTTGTGCCTTTGGCAGGCTTTGAAAGTAGTGGTAGGTTGAAAATGTCACACACACGTGCTAATTCCAATGCATGCCAAGTGCTTTCTTGTGACGCTATTCACCACCGCGATCCCAAAGGAGAACCTGCCTCACGGAGGTGTAAGAGGGGCCCTGATGACCCAAGTGCTCAATTCCCATTAGCTCAGTGCCTCCCCTTCCACCAGGAGCCATTGAACGGGGGCTTTATTATAAACACCACCTCGGGGCCATGCATTGGTGAGTTACTGCCATTCAGCTCTTCTTGCCCATGCTCTGCAAGCACACATGCTCCTAAGCCCGGTCAAAGCCAACCCCACATGTTTAGCCCCAGGAGACCCCACTTACATGCAGAGGCTGGGAATAGCCTGGGGAAAAGGAGTCCTCAATCACTCTGGTTTCGGGCATCATGGGAAAGGCCCCTCCATCAGGGAGGGAGCCGCTGTTCTGGGAGAGGTGGGTTAAGGTGGTGACTTTCCCTCCCGACGTCCAGGAGTTTGTCCGGCCATCTGAGGTGAGCGAGCCCCTGCCGCTGCCTGGGAACTGAAGCATTTGTAGGGGAGAAAAACAGTGAATGGGAAGTAGTGTGACATCCACAGTCAGACTGACCTGTTCCCTACTCTCCTACCCATGTCTTGAGAGAGACCGCCCATGGCCAGGGACATCCCATGCCCACAGGTGGCACAGGGTTATTGCTGTCTGCACTATTCAGGCCCCAGCAAATGGTTCTGGTGAAAGGCAATGGGTTGGATGCTCAGGGTGGCAGTGACCATGTACACCGCACACAGCTGGGCCAGCATGGGCTCTGGTGTCAAACCTACCGGACTGGGAGTACATCTGCACTGCTGTCACTGCAAGGCAGAGCAGACTCCCTGACACTAGCTTGGGTGCTGCAATCTAGTGGCCTCACCTCACTCCCTGTCCACTGCTTAATACTCAGCTTCTGGGGCAGGTTTTCCATCCTGCACTGAGCTTTGTGCTGCCACCAATAGGTCCACACAGCTGTGGCTATGGCATGTACCCTGCATGACTGAGAAGCTAGCTTCTAGAGACAGGAAAGTAATTAAATAGCTATGGCCTATTCAATCACCTTCTGCCAGGGATGCCAACAGAAGTGCCACACTTATGCCAGCAGCAATGTCTGTCTGTGTGACAGGCCATCGGGAGTTGGAGGAAGACCCGCGAGCTCAGTGCATGTCAGACACTGCCCAGTTATTGCTGAGAAAGACTTGTTCACCTATTGCTGGGCCCGGATTTTTATCCATCAGGTAAAAGATACTCAGCAAGGGAAGAAGTCAAGGCAGACAGTTTCCACAGCCTGAGCACATTCTCTCTACAAATGCTAAGCTGGGATTTTTTTGTCTCCCTTCGCAAATCCCCATTACCATCACAGCACCATTGCAGCAGGATGATTGCACAGAAGCATCCTAACCTGTAGCCAGGGTCTCCTTTGGCTGCAGGTCACAGCAGGCTACTATCCTCCCTCAAGACAGAGGGAGGGAGACATGACTTCATACCACTGCCCCCTTTCCAAGACCACTTTGAGTACAGAGCCCTAGATTTATACAGGGATATACATCTAATCTGCAGTGATCAAAGACTTTTCTCTCCTGCTTTTGTGTGCCGCTCCAAGCAAAGTCGTGTCCCTCAGGGTATTCTCACATAACAAGCAAGGTGTGGCCGGGAGAGATATTACAAATCGATCTCCATGCAGCCTTGCAATGCCTATTACCTGCCCGAGGTGGGGGAGCTTTGATCCTGTGAAGCTTTCTGATCCCGAGAGCGACGATTCTGCATTTCGAAACTGGGCTGTTTTCAGGCAGTAGAGCCACTCCTGGTAATCTTCGTAGCTGGGGCAGATGACCCGGATGGAATTTATTAACCGGCCTAGAAGGAACAGAAATCACACTGAATGCTGCTGGTGGACAAGCCATGTTTTCTCCCCTCACAAATCAATATCTGGAGGCTGATATTCCCTCCTGGGTGGAAGGCCAGCATAAGACCCATGCCCCAAACAGCCAGGTGATAGAGCGCCACTGCTACTGCCCTGGCTCAAGCCTGATTTCCACCCCTTGCTCTTCTCCAGGAGAGAAGTCTGTGCTTGGATTTCAGCAGAGATGCAGCCACTAAGATGCTGGGTTTGAATGAAAATGAAACGTTTCTAAACGCATCAACCCAAGCAGCAGCTTTGCTTAAATCAGCACTTAAAAGAAACAAAACAAAGCAGAGTCACTTAAATAATGATGCCACATTAATGTAAGCATTCATTAAAAGGGAGGCTGTCAAGAGGCAGAGAAATTATAACAATCGTTCTTCCCTGCACTGAATCAACTACGGATCCTTTAAGATCCTTAAAGGTGTTGGGAGGGGATGCGGAGAGGGAGAAAAATAATTATATACATTATTTGGATTTTTTTTTCTTCCTGTTTTTATCATCAGTATTTAGAAATGGGAAGTTTCAATTAAACCTTGAATTGCAGTTTCAATGACCAGCTGGGTGGACAACACATGCTCTTCTGGTTACTCTTATACATCACTCAGGTGGGAACGTGAATTTTAGGCCAACAAGTTTCATTTCCCAGCTGTATGGTTTCAGCCCATTTTTCAAGTCCTTTTCCATTTCTGGTTCCCAGGCAGTAATAGGAAACTATTTCTGTATACAGATATTTCACCGCGGGTGTGGAAAGACTCAAATGCATATTCAATGGATGCAAACGTGTCTGCCCATATTAAGGCTTATAATTCCACCACCCTTCTTTGCTATAAAAATAATGCTAGGAGCAAAATCTTCTTTTGGAACCTAAGTTTTAAAAGAATTAATGCCATTCCTACAAGTCAAACCGGCTTCGCCTAATGCAATATGGCAAATATGCTGTATGCAATATTGCTGAATATGAGCCAACAGTGTGCCCTTGTTGCCAAGAAGGCTAACAGCATACTGGGTTGCATTAATTGGTTGCAATGCAATACTGGGTTGCGTTGCCAGCAGATTGGGGGAAGTGATTCTTCCCCTCTATTCAGCACTGGTGAGGCCACATCTGCAGTACTGTGTCCAGTTTTGGGCCCTCCAGTACTGAAAGGGTGTGGACAAATTGGAGAGAGTCCAGTGGGAGGCAACAAAAATGGTGAGGGGACTGGGGGACATGACTTGTGAGGAGAGGCTGAGGGAACTAGGTTTATTTAGTGTGCAGAAGAGAAGACTGAGAAGGGATTTCATAGCAACCTTCAACTGCCTGCAGGGAGGTTTCAACAAGGATGGAGCTGGGCTGTTTTCAGTGGTGGCAGGTGACAGAACAAGGAGCAATGGGCTCAAGTTGCAGCAAGGGACGTTTAGGTTAGATAATAGGAAATACTTTCTCATGAGGAAGGTAGTAAAGCACTGGAACAGGTTACCCAGAGGAGTGGTGGACTCTCCATCCTTGGAGGTTTTTAAAACCCAGATGGACAAAGCCTTGGCTGGGATGATCGAGTTGGGGCTGGTCCTGCTTTGGGAAGGGGTTGGACTAGAAGTGACCTCCTGAGGCCCCTTCCCACCCGAATTTTCTGTGATTGTATGATCCATGGTTCTATAATATTTGGCTTGTGCGAGTTACCTACCTTCTATGAGGAATGAGGTTTTCTGGTTCTCCTCGAACTTAACTTGTATTGCATTCAGAGGCAGCTCTCCCTGTGTGCAGAAAGGAATGGGCTTATAACTCCACTGGTTGAGAGAAAGTGCTACCACCCCTGCTGTACAAATGGGAACTGAGCCCCCGAGGGACAAAGAGCAAAATCTTCAACAGCACCTAAATGACTAAGTTGCCTTTTCCAAAGTGGCCAGTCTCATGGAAAGTCAAAGAGATCTTGGCTCTAAGAGCTTGCAGTGTAACGTGGCTGGTATGGCCATGCTAGTTAGGAGTGAGGACCTAGCTAGTTCATGCCGCCTCACCCCCATGGCTATGCTGGCAAACCCGCTCAATGCAGAAGTGATCACCTTGACCACAGGCGTGTTGGTCAGCACAGATGGTGTCATCTGGGGAGGTGGCACTGCTATAGCAGCTGCAGACCTCCACACTGCCAGCATCTTCTTCCTTTCCCCTGGGAGCTCGGCCAGGACAGTTATGCCAGAAACAGCTCCAGAGTGCAGACACATTTTTACATCAGGCTCAAAAATGTGATCAGGCTCCTAAGTCACTTAGGCCCTTTAGAAAACCATGTCCCAAAAGACATGAGCAAGGACACAAGGGAGGGTAAAGCTGGGACCCCAGACCAGCATAGTAACAACCAATCCATCCTGCCCCATTCATCTGGGCCAAGCTCGAGTTGCCTTTAAAGATCTGCCAGGAATCTAGTCTGCAAGCCTGACCCGTATCAATTATTTCTATACTTGCTGCTGAGATCTCGCCTGTGGGAAATCTTGCTTTCTCCCCTGCCACTCTTTGCAATTGTGAGTGACTCAGCTGCCCCTTTTTCCCAGGTGGCTTGTAAATATGTCCCTGGCCAAGCCTTCGGTTGATAGAATAATAAGAGAGTAACACCTGATTATTACTATCCTGCTTTTTATGGCTTGTAGGAAGCACTATGCCTTGAAATGCCTTTAAGTGTCTGCTGTCAAGATGTTTTCCTACATCAATCACAGCCCAGGTAAGAGACAGTGAAATAAAACACTCAGGACTCCCCAGTGACAGGACTGTAAATCCTCTCCTGGTGCGGACTGCCTGATAAGTGCCAGGATCTCTATTAGGCAGGTGGGGGAGACCAGGGGGGTTTGCTCGGCAGCTGGCCCATGGATCCCCAAAAAGAGAGTTGGAATCTGGATACTGCAGGAGTGGGCACTTCACGTAGCCTGATGGTGTTTTCACCCCATTTGCTGTTCTTTCAGGACAGCTGCTTACAAGAGTCAGTACAAGTCTGGGTCTGTCATTTAGGGGCTGCATCGTGCTTCTGTAGTGCCCCAAACTCCCCTTGCCATGGGCACCCAGCAGAGGCAGAGCTGGACCCGAACAGAGCAGCCGCCCCCAGGACTGTAACTAGGAAAAAGCCTCAAGGTTGAGACCAGGTTTTGCATTCCTTTCCTCTCCCCTGGGAAGGGGAACTGCCAGATACTGGCTCTCTGTCCCTTCAGCCCCTGGTTATTCTCAGCCTGCTGCCGTCACGAGCTGGTTTGCAAAAGGAGCGATCCTGCAGCAGGCAACATGGGTGTCTGTGAGCAGCTCCTGACCCCAGCAATGGGGAGAGGAGTCAGGAGCGCGGGAGCTCCTAAGAGGCAAAGCCAGCTCTCCCCAGTGATGCAAGGGCTGGGGCCAGGAGGCACAGAAAGAAGGATGTAGGCAGTACTCGGTTTTGCTTCTGCCTCCCTTGGGGTTTGCCACGTCTCATAGAAACAGGGATTTTGGATAGTTCTACCGGTGACTTCTATGGATGCAGAATCAGGCCCTTGCACCTGAGTCCGGGCTCTGCTCCCTGCTCCCTGAGTGATGTCACGAGGAAAGTACAGTTCATTGCCCCATGCCACCATTTCCTCCCTTCATTGTCCCGCTTGTGAGGATGTGCATGGTGATGGCAGGGCTTGGCCTGACCGTAGGGGCTCTCCCACACCCCCAAGCGCTGTCTGCATTGGGAAGGAGCTGCTGAGTGGCACATTTTAACTGCAGACCCCGTGGCCACTGTGCTGGCTCAGCCCCGGGACAAGTGTGGGGAAGCCGTGCCACCCCCAGTCATGCCTGGCATTTCTGCCATGTGGAGATCACCCGTGTGGGAGGGTGGGGAAGGGGTGGCCCTAGGATCCTCCATGAGAGACCGCCTGTCCCTGCAGCTAGGGCTGGCTGGACACAGATCCCTCCAGAGCACGGCAGGGCTGTGCCCTACCTTCCCAGCAGCTCCACCTGCCCCTCGTGGCACGGCACCAGCAGTGCATCCAGAAGACAGTGCCAGCTGACCGACAGGTGCTGCTTCAGGCTGGCAACTGGACAGGTCCACATGCCAAGATGAAACAGAGGCCTTTAGAGAGAGTGAGGGCCAGGGAGGCTGGAGGGGACAGGCAGTATACCACTCAGAGACACACTGGGATCCCTCTCCCAACCCCACATGCCTGTCAGGCTACTAGGAGCAGCAGAAGAAACATTAGCTCTTAGCCACTGGGAAAGTACCCATCAGAGGTCTGTACTGCACAGGAGGGTTGCTCTTGAACCCCCTCGCTGTGCAGTGCCCAGGGGAGGAGGTGGCTGAGCAGAGATCCCTTTGCCCATGGGCTCACCAAAGGAGGTGAGCAGCAGCTCCCCAAAGGGCAGCCCAGGCAGCATCATTGTCTCCATATGAGCTGTGGAGGGAGGGCTTGTCTCTCCTTCCAGCCCTGACTTCCTCCCCTGTTCAGCCAGCACCTCTTCTGCAAAGCCAGGCCCAGGCCTGGGGCCTTTTTCCAGCGGGGTGAGTCAGACCTCGCTGCTCCGGGACAACATCGTCCCACGGGCTCCAGCCAGAAGAACCTGAACTCCCTGCCCTCCCGCCTGAGCCTCCGCTCTCAGGGAAGGGAGGTCAATCAGCCCAAACCTCCGTGGGAGGATCCTGTGCACCAGCTTGTCTGAGGAAGTCACCACCTTGTGAATCATGGCCCTTCAGCGCTGCGGCTGCATGAAGCCCGGTGTGCAACTCCGACCTGCCCGGACAGCTGGGAGCGAAGGCCAGAGAGGCAGGGATGGAGGACACAAGCAGAGGGGACATGGAGATCGATTTTGTTGGCTGAGCTTTGCAAGAGCAAGAGGCACCGGGAGACCCTAATGCAGCCCAGTTCTCAGAGGGTGTGGACCCAAGCTTGTTGGAAACCAGGCCCCTAGGGGGGGTTCGAGCCAAGTACCCCCAGATCTCTCAGCTGATCCCATAATGCACAGGTCACTGGTTTTATGGGGAGGGGAGTTATCCCTGGATTCCTTCTTGCTTCACACCCCTCCTTCTTCTCTAGCCCCTGGGGCACGGTGCAGTAGCCCATGCTCACAGCTGATGCTGGTTGCTGCTCATTCCTTCCTTGGCTTCCAAAGTATGTCCCCACCCTCGCTCCAGGGCCCAAATGGAGACACTGTGTGCTGTATGGGGGAGACGGGTTTTCCCTGCCCACAAAGAGACCTTTGCTCGGGGAGAGAGCAGAAATGCCGGCCTGCCCAGCCCATCCCACACACCTGCTGCTACTGGTCCCTCTTCCCTGACAAGGCTTTGCAGAGAGGAGCCAACTCCTTCCACTGAAATCCCAAACCAATGCAGTGTTGCTGTGAGGCCGAGGGTCTCACTCTGATTAGAACGGCACCGACTTCTCCCTCGGCGGCGGGCAAAGCCTGCAAGGACTCTTCCCTGGAGAGGTTTCCTGCTGCTTTCTGCTCCTGCAGCTGCTCTGACAGTAAGGCATCCCCAAGAGCCAGCCCAATTCTTGAAAGCACCCATGAGTTATGCAGCTGGTCAAAATCCCTAGGTATAGAAACATGCCAGCTGACTCACTTCGGGAGTCTTGTGGGCACAGGGCAGCTGGGGGAGGTGATGAAATCCCAATGGAAAAGCAGCCTGTGAATGTCACAAGTCCCCGTGAGGCATGAGGTGCCCCCGCCCCCGCCCTTGGGTTCCTCTTTTGCTGGCATGCCAGGAGTACCAGGCTCTTTCGACATAAAAGAAGCCACCAGCCTTAGCAATGGTGGCTGCCCCAAGGGAGATGGGCCCGTGCTGGTTTCAGTACAATTCTGGCCAGCATTTCTGCCAGCCAGGCTAGAAGGCATGGTGCTTAACCATTCATCTGGTCTCTGCGGTGCCTTTTAGTATCCAGGAAAGTGCACAGGGTAGTTGCAAAGAAGATTTCCCCCAGAATGAAACTCAGCAGCCTTCCTCCACCCTTCACTATCCAAAAGGAGCACATGCTCCCAACAGCAGGGCTAGTGCAAGCTGATCCTGTGGTTAAAGGGATCAGCCAGCTCGAGGCAGTCAGATGCCGGGTGAGTGAGCGGAGGCTGCAGAGGGCTCTGCAAGGTTGGTCTCAAGCTGGAGAGGCATGTTGGGTTGCCGCCCAGCCAGCCCTGCACCAGCCTAACCACAAAGAAGTATTCAGATGCCATCTCCTCCCAGACACTGGAATTCCCTGGCAATGGACTCTTGCAGAAAGGCAAGGCTGTTCCCATGGGAAATGGCTTGCAACAGCCCTGAGCTATGGTGCTGGCCCAGACACAACACAAAGGGGTTGAAGCAAAGCTCTGGGGAGGGAGAGAAAGCAAAGACCTGGGAAGAATGGCTGGTGCCTCATGGCAATGAAATACAAGGGGGCGGGGAAGGATGGGGGCATGAGATGCACTTGCCTTAAAGTAGAGGCCGTTGCGCTCTTCTGATACAATCACCAGTGTGGAAGGGTACAGGATCAGCAGCCTGTCGTGCTGCTCCTGGCAGGACAGAGAGGGGAGAATTAAGCTTGACTTGCCATGGCTTAGGCTGCCTCCCTCAGCACAACTCATACACCTCAGCACAGCGGGCCAGCAGGCTCAGAAGCCATCTCTGCACACATCCCAGCCCTCCAACCTGTATGTAGCAACACAGCCAGTGTTGAATTGTGCCTGCACTTCAGGTCAGACAAAGATCTGCTGGGAATGGCTTGATCCTGCCTTGACCAGGGGCTCAGACCACATCCCTCAACCCTATTTCTTCTGCGCTCTTCATTGTCTCATGCCAGTTGTGTCAGTCCACAGAGGCACAGCAGGTCCCCGGACACACACCCAGGACTCCCTGGCGGGCAGTACTAAGACCAGGAGCATCAGGAATGAAGACTGGCTGTTATACATAGGGAGATGCATGAATGTGAGAAGCCTGCTGGTACAGGGAAACGGGGTGGTAATACTGGCTGCCCTGCGATGATAGGGGTAGAGAGATCTTTCCCATTTACTTGATCCGCTTACTGTGCAGGTAACAACATGCCACATTACTGTGAAGATACCAGATCCCTGGAGACCAGGGCCCTACCTGGAAAGGCAGATGCTGCAACCTCACTTTGGAGACACAGAGAACGTCACCCAGGGACTCGCGTTGGGTCCCCCTCCATTCCTGCACGGGCTTGTTCTGCACGGACCACCGCAGCTCCTCCTTCCCCAGGGGGCTGTCTTTCCAGTTGTTCTGCAGAGGTGGGGAGCAATGGGCAAGCACATCAGAGCCAGCGCCAGGCAGGGGGATGAGCCCTCAGGAAGGGACAGAGCTATCTAGGTCAAGCAGGACAGTGCTTGGAGGCTCAGAGCAACCACTCACAAGCCAAACTAAGTCATGTTCAGAGTCGTGAACAGCTTCACCATTTGCCCTATTTGCACTGCCAGCTATGGCAGCCAGTGGGAGAGTTTTACTAGGAGGCAGGCTCTATTTCCCAGGTGCATGCATTGATTTCCTGGGAGACCTCAGGCAAACTCGTTCCCTTCTCCTGGCCTCAGGTCCCCCATCTGTGTGTGTGTGCGCGCGTGTATACTTATATACTCAAGAACTCAAGAGTCATGTACAGAAAGCCAGTTCCAAGAGTAAAAAAGCATTTTGTCTTTATCCATCAGTTCTGCACAGATTTCTGGCTTGCTCTGGGAAATCTCTCATATACTCATGCTAGGCAAAATGAAGTGCAAACTTGAACTGCAGGTGAAGGGATCCTAGGTAACAACACAGTCAAATGTGAGCACTTAGCAGTGTCTGTCCACAGCTACCTAGTGATGGGAAGGAGACAGGAGACCAGAGAAGGTCTGCTTATAGCAATAAGTTTTTATAGAAATTGATTGAGAACAAGGAAGAAAGTGGTCCTTTCTGGCATGCTATTGAAAGATCTGTTCCTCTTTGTTTGAGACCGGATCCTATTTCACTGCATTTCTATTCCACTCTCTGCAGGTCTGAAAAACTTTTAATATAACAGGTGCACTGCTTTTTGTGACTTAAGTCTTCAAGTCCAACAAAGTTGTGTCACAGAAGCGGACACATTAACCATTTTTCAGGGAGTCAAGGATGATGGAACAGGAATGTACATAGGCATCTCCTAAGTAGAAGAGGATCTGGCTTTAATTTTTTTATGAAGACCCCTGTATATCTGTGCTATAAATGTGAATATGTAAAGAATAAGAGCTAACACTAATCAACCAAAAGGCCATTTGCAAGCCTAAGGCTCTCTTTGTGGGACTGAGGCCACGTCTACACATTAAATTAATGTGCTTTAAGTAATGCACATTAAATCTAGTACCTTCAGTGTGAGGTACTAGAAAAAATGTGGGATTAGCCTATTTTAATGCACACTAGCTAAAGAGCATGTTTTTATTGTGATGCTTTAATGTGCACTAAAATAAGCTAACGCACATGTGTAGACACACCCTGAGTGGCATTAACTATACCCACTCTACCTCCCAGCCTGTCTGTTGTGAACTGGTGCATACAGGAGGGGACTGAGAAGCAGGACCCTGGGTTCTCTTCCCAGCCCCTCCACTGTTTCGTTGTATGAGCTTAGGTAAGTCCCTTCAGCTCTTTGGGCACCTATACACGAGCGCCAAGGCTGGAAGTCCAGCATGTCGGAGCGGACTCCATTAATCGAGTCTGCAAGACCGTCCGTGGCAATTATCAGGCTCCAACAGCCTCGTGTATCAGCATCCCCGTGCTTCAAAATGGCAGTGGGAGCACTTGAACTAAAGGTCGTTAAACAAGTTTTAATTCAAGCACCCCCACTGCCATTTTTAAGTGCGAGGAGGCTGATACAGGAGACACAGAGGAGCTTTAATTAGAGCAACTCTCAGAGCCACTCTAATTAAAGCACCACCCCCAGAGCAAGTGTAAAATTGCCCTTTGTTCCTTCTCCCCGTCGGCTGTGTGTTATAAAAAGGGGGTCATAACACAGAGCCAGAATTAGCACGGGGACATAAAAGGCCCTGCTAGAAGCAGAGCTGATGGTGCGAACATCCACACGCAGCCCCAGAGCCGCCTTGCACAACAGGGACAGGCCCTGCCTGGTACAATCATGGCCCACAGCAAGCCCCGACCGAGAGCATGGCTCACGGGCTTCTTAGCTGGGTTCTCTTTTGGCAGGGCCACAGCTGGCGGCTATTTCCCCGTCTGACCCAGGTAGCAGGAGCTGCCCTGCTCCTTCAGCAGAGCTGGCTGAGCATGGATCAGGCTGGCTCAGCTGGGGAAAGGCAGACTGGAAACTGTGAGCCCCTGGCCTGTCAGATCCCTCCTGCCAGACGCTGCCAGCCCCTGATTCATGCTGGGAGCAGACAAAGGGCGTGCCAGGTGGAGGGGGAGGTAGTACATGGGAAGTTTATGGGCCTTTGCAAAGCCCGCTGATAAGAGGGACGGCTTTCTAGCACCCGCCAGTCTGCAGTAGGCATTTTATCTCCCATGGGTATCTGATGTCTGGCTGTGAGTGCAGCTGTGCCCCAATCTGACAGGCAAAGCTCCCCTTGAAAGTGGAAAGGAACCAGACTGCAGTAGTGCTGCTCACCCCCGTCTCTTATGATTCCCTATGGCTGGCCATGCTTTCATGTTGGTTAGGGCAAGAGACTCCTGGGATCTGTGCTTGGCTCTGCCACTGACTTACTGTGTGACCTTGGCAAAGTTGCCTCAGCCTCCCAGTGCCTCAGTTTACCCCTGTGTAAAACAGGGAGGATAATCACTTGTCTCATAAGGGAGTTGCATGGGTGAATTCAGTGCCTGCAAGGGGCCATGATGTCCTCAGGGGCTGTGAGGTCTTAACAGGGGGCCAAATATTATCACCTGTCAGTCATGAAGCCAGGCCCAGACTAGGCCAGCATAGCTCCTGAATGCCCAGAAGAGGCTGCCCCAAGCAAAGTCCTTGCATTACACCATTTGCTATTCATGCTTCATGTCAGCCAAGGGACCTGCTCACTAGCAGCTGTGTTGGGGAAGGGGAGTGGGACATGCTCTTGTTCCCAGACTCATGTCTTGGCTAAAGCAAGTTTTATCAGCTGCTTTAACCCACACAGCTATCAGTATAGGGGGAATAAACCACTGGCCCATGGTGACAGGGGATTCTAGGGCAAGGAGGAAGATGGGCTGCAAATGTGCCTGGAAGTGGGGCCAAGGCAGAGCTAGGTTTAAGGGACAGCCATGCTCAAGGCAGTAGGTTCAGGCAAGTCATCCAGCGTGCCAGTGGGAGCAGAGGGGGCCCGGGCCTCAGCCTCTATCCATGGTCTCAGGATGGACACCAGCTCTGGGCTGAGCTAAGTGAGGGGGGCAAGTGTCTGCTGGTCACAGGTATAGAGTCAGAAGCCCCTCAATCCCTGCCCCAGCTCTGTGCTCTTTCATCACTGCAGGAGGAAAATCACTGTTACCTCGAACATTGTTTAAACCCCCCCACATACAACCTCCCAAGCTCATCCTGTTTGTAGCCAGATCAACCTGGCCCAAGCCACTGACCTGGGACTGAAAGGGCAGCTGGAGGCTTCCTCCATTGAGGTGGATCTGTTTCTCCAGGTGATAAAGCCAGTGCTTCATCTCCGACTCACTGGAGCAGTACACCACAATGGGGTTCAGAAGAGGCCCTGCAGGTGCAAGACAGAGGATGAGCTGAGCACATAGGGGAATGCATGACCTCCAGCGCCAAAGGGTTAATCCAGGAGCTACCCAAGTTAGGCAATAGTGTTCAGCCAACCAGAGACATTGTTTTGATGATGTAATATTTCTCTCTTGTGTGCCACTGGCCAAGTGTTATCATCTTACTGGGAGAAAAAGTTGTACTGATAGTGATGTCTAGGTGGGGATTCTCCAGGCCTGCGTATAGCAACGTCAACATGCCACCAGGCTAAAATGCAGCTATGCAAAAATAATTTTTTTTTTGCAAAAATCTAGTTGGTCTAATAAAAGATATCGCCTCTACCATGAGCTCCGATTCGTTATGCCAAAACCCACCGGCATGGCCAGAAATATATCACTTTTTCCAGTCCCCGAAGTTGTTACAAACTCCCCTACAAGCCAAAGATCACAGCCTTATCCTAGTAAGACTGATTAGAAACCACAGGGAGAGGCTGTTTTTACAGTGCAAACTATCAGAAAGACAATCCATCGGGAAGTGTCCAACGGTTAATATTCACATTTACCCACTAGAACAGGGACTCGGGGGAAGGCAGCTGGTTAAGCTGGCTGCGTGGGGCTGCAACAGCAGGAGCACAGACTGGCCCTGCATTAAAAGGGCACACTCCTGTGTTTGATTGGAGAGTCACATGACAAAGGGGGCGGGGCTTGGAGGTATATAAACCCAGGGTCTGAACCATAGTGGCAGTCAGAGCCTGCAGGCTGCAAGCAAAGGAGCTTCTGCCAACAAAGATCACAAACCCAAAGTTGTAGTGATAGTGATTTCTAGATGAGGATTCTCCAGGCCTGCGTGTAGTAATGTTCAGGCTGGTGGAGCGTGGGAGCTGCAGGTCATGGCTGGTGCTCCCAGGGTGCAGAGTGGGAAGGTGGCTTGGCAGCGGTATGATGATGACCCAGAGGGGGGACTTGGAGTTAAAAGCAGTTGCTCAAATTTTTGCTACCTTTGTTATAGACCACAAAGTGACTGAAGAGGGTCACACAGGGGTGCCTGAGAGGCACTCCAGATTTTCAGCCCCATCAGGCTCCAGCTGAGAGGGCCAAAACAGAATGGGAAGGGCCAAGGGCCCAAGCAAAGCAAGATGGACCAAGGGCCAGACCAGCCCGACTCAGAAGTGGGCCTAGGCTGGCAGTCAACAGCTAGAGTAACCAGTAGGCTAAAGCTAAGAGAGCTGAAGCCCATATGAGTTGGTGCATGGATCTAGGGTAACATCTGTGAGACATGGGAATAGATGTAAGGGCAGAAGGAGGCCACAAATAGCCGTTACGGTGACTGGTGCCTTGGGGCACTGACAGGGCCAAATCGGCCCCCACTTAGAGCATTGAAGAACAAGACCGGGGGTCAGCTGGGTACAGGAGGGACCCACTGGCCAAAGCAGGCTCGGGCTCACCCAGGGACCCTGGGGCAGCCTCTCTTCTACAAAAGAAAATAATTTCAGCAAGGCACAGCAGACAAGAGGAAAAAGGAGGGCACTCCAGGGAGCCGAGTGGGGCAGGAGCCACATGGCTGCCAAGGGGCATCACAGCCGCCCCTACAAAAATATTGCATGTTTTTAAATATGACATTGCTCCTGTAGGAAAGGCCATAGCAAATTTCTCCATCAAGGTAAATGTTTACTGCTCACTGTTACATTTTTTTTAGCCCGCATCATAAATGTTAGCTTCTCAAATTCCCATTAAGGCAAACACAACATTGCACCCACCAAATAAAATGTGTTTTTTGCCTTCTAAACATTTGACAAATTCACTGTTGTTATTCGCTGTTTTTAACCAGTTTCATTAGCGTCCCTCCTCTGGACTGCCGCCGGAAGTGCACGGACCTTCCGGTGATCCTGCAAAGCTACTTTCTGAATCCTTTACCAGATAAAATCTGTGCCTGGCCGTTTATTACTACTCGACGGAAGACATGGTCACACCCACTGTTGATTCTAATATTTCCAGCTCCGTTTGTTTGCTAGCGTGAACATCAAATTCTCTCACGCCCCTAACCAGTCAGTTCCATGTTATCCGAGTGACGTCAATAACCAGTTTCTAGACAGTGGCCTGGCCTACGCTACGATTAATAATTTACTAGGTGCATCATTAAAACTGTATCAGATGCACTTTAAATAAAGATCCCTGATTGTGGCGTTTGCGATCTTTAGGATTGCTGAGATAAGTGAGTGTGCAATATGCTGTCATAATGAAGAAATATTATCCCAATGATACTTTGCCCTCTGGCGGGGTCTTTCGTCTGAGGATCTCAGCGTGTTTTATGGGTATCAATTATAAGCCTCACAAAGCAGGATAGTGTTGTTATGCCCATTGTAGAGGTGGTGAAACTGAGGCACATGGTACTCATATTATATGCTCCTTAGATCATATGCACTGCAAGGCAGTGACTGCTTCTTGTATGTTTACATAGCGCCTACTGCAGTACAGCCACAATCGCTGTCTGACTGACACACCCAGCGGTAGCATTAATAATGTCACATAGTGAAACAGGGAAGGGGACAGAACTTAGCATGTCAAGCTGGGAGGTGGCATTCAACCGAGGAGACCTAGGTTGGGTTTCCTGTCATCGGCTCTCTGCAATGACCTGAGCTAAGTCACTTTCCTGCTCTGTGCCTCAGTTTCCCCATCTTTAAAATGGGGTTAATAGCACTTGCGTGCATTTCTACCTGAGCACTGAGGCTTGGGCAAGGCAGCTTACTATACGAGTGACCTCGAGCCACAGACTATGACCCCATCGCATGGCTTACGTGTCATGTGAGCTATTTCTCAGGCACACTAGAAGGGATGAGCCCTTCCCAGCCAGCTGTGCCCATGTTCCAGCCTCTCTCCAAGAGCCAGACAAGTTTAACAAGTCATATAAACGTGGCTTGCTGGTGGAAGAACCGCCATGCTCCAGAGCAGGGAGAGAAGAGTCCCTTTATAAGCTGTCTCTCTGCTGGCCTGTCTTCAAGCCAGGGCAGCCCTGAAGTATAACCAGACTTGGCCAGGACCCTACCTCCGAGCTTTGAGGCTTGTGTCTGCACATTCAAGCCCATTTGGATTAAGGATCAGTAAGAACCATAGCACCAAATCTTTTCTGACATGGACTCTTACTCTGGATCACACAAGTCTTACTCTGAATCATCTTAATCTACTTTCAAAGGGGCCCAGACTAATTTAGAGAAAGGCCTGACCCAGCCCTGAATGTCTCTCGTTTCTGGTGCTTTATAACCCCTCTTCCCGAACTAGGACCCAAACCCAGCAATGCCCCAGTCTCATTTTCCAATCCACAATGCTCACGTGCATTAGAAATCAGGCAGAACCAGTCCACCCCTCCCTGCACCCAGCTGCTAAGACGGGTGTGAGCACAGATCCCAGCCCTGCACGGGTCTGGTCAGGGGTATTATGGGATCAGGCCTGGAATGTGGTCACAACCCAGCCCTCTCTCGGAGCTGCCTGTCGTTCGGCGGGCTGTGACTTACAAGGACTTCCGTTTCACTGCACAGCTGTGAATCAACTCATTTTCGAGCTCAGGGCATGGGAGCACGTAGATACCCAGAGCAATAGGCCAGCAAGCTTTGGCAGCTCCCTATCTCCATGCAGTTTATTGACCTCTGTCTAGCTCATGCTTTAACTACTGCTCTCAGTAGCTCAGGATTGCTGTAATCCAGCCATGACTAAGCCTGATGCTGCACAGACAGGTTGTTACCCCAGGAAGAGTTTAATGTTGTGAGATGACTCAGAGCAAAAATAAAGGTAGTGAGGCCAGGGGACGGGAGGGGGAGCAGCAAGGGAGCACTGATTTACTGATGTCCAGGTCTGATCCTGCCATTCTGATGTTACCAGCTGAGGATAAAGAATATTTATCCTTATTATACACAAGAGCTATTTCTGCTAGAGGAGTAGTCAGGTGTCCCTCTTGGGATCAGGGTCCCTTTGTGCCATGTGGTGTGCAGACACATTAGAGGCAGGGAAGGAAGGGAATGTTCTTATCCCCATTTCACAGATGGGGAAGACTGAGGCAACAGGCCTGAACTGAAAGAGCTCTGTAGCAGAGCTGAGAAAAGAGTGCACATCTGAGCAGGGAGCACTAGACCCCGCTTCCTCCAGGAGGTACCAGCGGACAGAATCACATCTCTGATGGAGTTGGAGCGCACCGGGAGGCACTCACCTGTAATCCGGAAAGCATGTTCCTCCTGCCCTGCACTCTTTGCATTTGCAATTTCAAGCACACTCAGCTCTTTCAGTGGCAGCAGCCCCTGCAGAAGCAAAACACCCATTAAAGCAGGTTCGGTCCCTTTCTATCACCAACATGCCCTCTCCAAAGGGAATCTGAAACAAACCTCCTAACAGGGACCGCCAGTCTGTTTGTCTCAGAAGATCTGTTTGCAAAACACTATTGCGAATGGGCGTGGGTCTTCCTTGCATTGCACTAACATGTCATTTCTTAGACAGGAACCTGTGGGTAATAAATACCCAGTTTATGGGCAATTCCCATTGGTTCAACTGCCCCAACATTTCCACCTTTGCCTTTAGTGCCTGCCACAAGTAAGCTGACATGTTCAATGCTTCCTGCCATGGGCGGGCACCCAGACCAAGCAGGGCAGGAACAGTTTAAAAGAACAAAAAGTGAAACTGGTTACAAACAGAAAGAGAAGATGTAAAGTGTAAACTAATTGCAAAGTGTAAAGAAACAGCAAAATGGCGACAAGTGTGAGCTGCCTTGCCTGGGCATTCTGGCCCTGATGCTATGATGAAAGTCCTCTCTAAACCAAATCCTTCCAGAGAACTATTCAGTCATAGGATCTTGGTGGCAGTACAGGTGCAGTCCCCTTTTTATAACTCTTTAGCTAGGCTAAGGGGCTGTTAGGAAGTCAGACAAGAGCTCTTTAAACACGGTCTAAATCTTCACAGTGTGTCTTTCCGCTTGAAGCTCGGCTTGTTCAGTGACTCAGGAGGCTGCGCTGTCAAAACACATTAACCACGAGTCACCCAGAAGACAGTAAATCATTTCTAAAAGGAATGTCTTCTACCAATATCTTCCAACCCCCCCGGCACAATTGTGTTTCTCCATTCATCAAAGGAAAGTGCTTTCTTTTTAAGGACATGCGGATGGATAGACAGACTGATGGACAGAAGGTTAGATGCATGGACAGATGGACAGATGTATAAAATACACTTTTTTTTTTTTCATCCAGTAGCACCTTCCTGCCAAAAGATGATGAAACAGTTTGTCATGACCATGGGGCATGGGTGTCCTCAGGGATCTTCTCCTTTCCTCCTCCACGCTCTCCTCCTTCCATGAAGAGAAGCACCTTGGAGTTCACACCCAGCACGTTCCCAACCAAGAGCCTCAAGTTCAGCTCCTAAACCCATATTCAGGCAACCAAATTAAGTGGCTTGAGTTTTGAAAGTGCTAGAGGCCTGCCAGCACTTGGCCTTCCTAAGAACCTGGCCTATCATCATGGATTTGTCTTGCAGCTGGATACCGAGGTCCTGAAGCACTATCGGGGCAGTAGCTAACACGAGACAGCCCCTGCCCAAGGGACCTGCCTTCTATGTAGACAAGAAGAGGGACCAAGTGGGGAGGCAGGACAGAGACAGAGAGGGCAGGGGGTGAATCCCTTGAGGTCACAGAGCAGTTTGGCAGTGGGCCCAGGTACAGAAGCCGGGCCCAGCGACCTGACCATTAGACCATGCTGCTCCTCCACCGACTCCCACTGCTTTGTGTCATGGGAACAGAAAGATCCCTCACCTGATAAGTCAGTCCATTGGAGCCGACGGATTGAAAGTACAGGTAGGACTGGAACAGCTCCAAGTAGCAATCATTCACCTCCTGCAAGACAGAGACAGCTTGAGTTTGGTCCCGGGGAAGATTTGATCCCCTAGCTTCGCTCTGTTATGCACCCCAGGTAGGGCAGCACAGTCCATCCATCCTGGGACCCAGGGCCTGCCAGCTCAGAAGCCAGGAAAACATGTGTAATCAGGGGCCAAAGGAAAAACTGTTCTGTCTCCAGGCACAGCTGCTAAATACAAATGCAAAGCCAAATCCCCTGATCTGATGAAGACAGGTGCAAAGGCAGCCTCAGCACGCAGTCTGGGACCCAAACACTTCTCCAGCTTGCGGGAGAGAGAAGAGACACCCTTCTTGGGACCAGCATATCCTATGTCTGAATCAGGGGAGACCACAGAGTCAGCAGCCCCGGGCCCTTGAATATTCTCAAGGGAGATTCCAGAAGCAGTGTCCCATAGGAATGAGCTTTGGGGCCCCGTGGTCTTGGAGAGAGAGCCTCTACCCTCATCCACTGCCTCTCCAAGCTTCCCAAATGAGCCCTGCAAAACACAGACTTAATCCTGCTTCCCCTTGTTTGACCACCCCGGCAGGAGAGTAAGATAACCTGCCAGACAGACAAGCACTTGCTGCAGCAACAGCATTTGCAGCCAGGGGAAAGTGGGCAGTTGCCCTCCAGACACCTGGATGATGCACCAAAGCTCACCTGGCAGTTCTGGAATTTGAATTTGACCTTGGAGTAATAAATGATCTGTCCCAGGTTCCTCACGACTGTCTTCCTCCGCCCTTTCTTGAACAGGCTGGGAAATCGTTGGTCCAAGTTCTCCTTTTGATTGTCCTGGGTCGTGATGTTCTGTAAGAAAAGCAGCAATAACAGATGAGGCCTGAATGCTAGGAAAGCCTCTCTCTACCTGCCAGAGGCATCAGCCGAGCCACCTGTCTTAAAGAGGAGCCCCGGGTCCCTTGTTTGTTTGCTAGGTCTCCATGCCAGCCGGGGAGCTGGGATTTTATTACCGCTGTTCTGGACAGGCTGGGGAGGTGTCCCTCCCTGTATAGAGGGATATTTTAAACTAGACGAGGAGCGCCTGGTTGTTTGGGAGTAATAAGTGTTACATTTTAGGTCCCCCAACTTCTCAGCTGCCCTTCTGCTGGCCCTATTGATTGACACAGGCATCAGCAGAAGCCACCAGAACCAAGCAGAGCCCGGTGGTTTTAATTCGAACAAGTCTGTGCAAAAGCTGCCCTCGGTTTCCCTCTGTTCGGGTCTCCCCGGTCTTAGCACTCCCAGCTGATCAATCGCATTCCCGTCTCCAGCTGGAGCTGTTTACAGCTGCTATCTAGATATAGGATTTCACTTTTATTAGGCTCAAACCCTGACATACCTAGGCTGGGTTGCTGTGGCTTCAGCTCCTCTAAACTTTATGGGGAAATTCCTTCCTCGTGTGCATCTCCTAGCCCTCCAGCCCGTGCCCAAGACATACACGGGGACTTGTGCAGCATGCTGAGGGGATCAGAGGCCTCTGGAAGTCACAAGCCAGGCTCCAGCTAGCCACAATCATTCCCCTACTGAGAAGCACATCTTCAAAAGCTGGACCAGAGGCAAGTCTTTGGTGCATTACCTGCACACAACTTGGAAACGACTGAGATTGTACCAAGAGCAGAAAGTGCATCAGTCATCAAGGGCCCTCCTGTTCATACCTGGCAATGAATTTGGACAAAAAGGGCATGTGGAGGAATTTGAGTGGTCAAAGGATCTATCAGAAGCTGCCTAATACAGAGGGCCAGGGCTGCTCTCTGCAAAGGCAGTTGTGATGCACTCCGTGGTGAGCTCTTCTGTCAGTGCCTTGTCCTTAAAATAAAGGGAGAAACTGAGAGCTCTGAAGAGGCTGATGTCAGGGAGGTTTTTAGCAATCTCTTGCATCATCCCCTGAGAACCAGGTAAATGGAAATTCTTCTCTTGTGCAATGCCCTGGCACCTGAAGGTTGCTGGCCATCCTGTTCAGGCTCTTATGCTGCTGCGCCCATCGCTGTAGCATCTGATCATGCTCTAGCAGGAAGTAAAGCAGTCTGAATAGCATCAGCTGCTTGCAGTCTCTGAGCATGTCTAAACATGTCATTAATGTGCAGGAATAAACTCCGGAGCTGATTGTTCCAAAGTTTATTGCTCCCAGAAAGCTCCCAGGTGCACTGTTTACACATGTCCAGACCGCAGCACACTGAGCCAGGTCAGAGCTGCTCCGGTTGGCAAGGGGCCTGGGGCATCCACTGCTCTGATGGGGCTCTGCGTGCTGTGGAGGGGCTGGCTGGGGCACGGGGGTGCTAGCTGGCAGGCAGTCCTGGCACTGAAGTACCCTTGTGCCCCACTGCTGCACATGCACTGCTACACACAAAAAAAACTCTACAGCAAAATAGTACTATAGTATTTGTGTTTACAAATACTATCCTGCTGTGGAATGAATTCATTTCCTGCACCCTAATAGAGGTGCACATGTAGACACTGAGATGTTTACTGTGGAGCTAATTAGTCAGCTCCTCAGTAAACGCCTCGTGTAGACGCATCCCCTGGGAAGCATTCTGCAAAGGAGATATTTGGGCTGTCTGGTGCCACCCCTAGAGACAGACCAGGGCTTTTATCTGGAACAGCAGCTCTCCCTCCCGCACTTCCCAGTCCCCCGATTGTAAGAGTGAATAATAAGCTGCCGGGGCATTCAACCAGCGGCAATCAGACAGGGATACGGGTTTGTTCCCTGGAACATCCATGCCCCAGTCCTGTAAAAGATGCATGAGGAAGGAAGGAAAATCTACCTTATGTTATACCAGGGGTGGGCAAAATGCGGCCTGGGGGCTGGATGCGGCCCGCCAGGCCATTCTATCCGGCCTGCGGGTTCCTTAAAAATTTTAGAAAATTAATATTTATCTGCCCTGGGCTGCCTGTCATGCGGTCCTCAATGGCTTGCCAAAACTCAGTAAGCAGCCCTCCGCCCAAAATAATTGCCTGCCCCTGTGTTATACCAAGATAGCATGGCTTGGCAAATTGTAACCCCCTCCCCTAGCAAGGCTCTCATCTCCAGGTTTCGGAGCCGTGTTTCCAGGGAATCCTAGTAGCAAGCACATGATGGCATTAGAGGGTGGTGGGCAGACTGCCTCCTGCCTCTCAGAAAGGGCTTCTATCCAGAACAGCATTTCCAAGAACAAGCAGAAGCATGGATGCCACGGAGGTTGAGTGACAAAGCGGCCCCCACAGTCCGGCCAGGGAGCCCGGCCGGCCTGTGCTTTCCCAGAGCTGATCCAGAACCTGCCTAATCCACATGTGCCCCTTTTCGATACTTGGTGCCAGGGAGACAGCTGCAAAAGCCCGGGGATAAATGAAGAGCTGGCAGCCACGAAGCAGACCCAGTGACCTCACCCCACAGGAATGATGCTCCAAGCCTCCACAGCTCTCCCAGTAGAGAGGAACTGGTGAAGGAGGGAGGGAATACTAATGATTTCTGAATCCCTTTATCTGCAGGGCTGGGGGTTTCTTTCAGGGCTTAATTGAATGTAGATAACACCTTGAACCCCACCACTCCTACACACACACACACCCCAGGGGTCTTCATCCAGAAAGCTGTCCCCTTTCTGCACCCAACCAATGGGGCACTGAAGGTGGGAACCTGCTAGCTGCCAATTAATGAGCTCACCTAAAGCCAATTAGGGAGGAGATTACATTTGTGCTCCAAGGCTGCTGCCCTGGCCTGACTTATCACTTGTTGGCTGTGCAAGTAATTAAAAGAAAAGGTGCTCAGGAAACGAGGCCGTTCAGTGGGCATCTAATATGTGCCATGTACAGGTCTCGCAGGGACACGGCCAGGGCCTGTTCAGCCCCCAGTGGGGTTGCTGTCACAACAGCTTCAATATGATTCCATTTATTTTCACTTCCAGGGTGTTCACCTGCCTGGCTGCTTTATTTTTATTTTAATTTTGTTTGCAGTCCTAGAAATTCCCACACAGGCATGTGTATTATATAGAGAACATGTGTTCTTTCTATTAGAGCAGAGCCCGGGAGTCCCCAATACGGATCAGAGCCCTTCTGTGCTAGGCTCCAGGCAAACAACGCAGCATGGAGGGCCCCAGCTCCAAAGAGTTCACTGTCTCATTTGTAAGGTGAAGGAGGCAGCAAATTGGGGGCAAGACCAAGAAGACCGAAGAGGGCGAGAAGCAGTGGTTCCAGCTGGGGAATCTGTATTTCCAGCTTGCGCTCCGAAGCGCCGGTGTCATCAACAAGAAACAGATGCCCAAGAAGAAATGAACCAGACTTAGAGCCTCTCGGTGGAGCCCTGCAGCCCTGCCAGCTGCAGCAAGGGGCTGCGCCTTCCAGCAGCACGATGGGAGCCCAAAGCAATTGTCACTGTCAAACAACCCCCACCCCAGCACAGGGAGGGAGAGCAGGCTCCTGGATTTTGACCCTAACTGCAGTCTCACTAATTTCCAGTGTCACTGATACGATAGCATTGCTAAGAAATTAGATTAGCAAGTCTAGCAGCTGTAACCTGGCAGCGTCCCTTTCACAGCTTGCCCTTCTGCTCCGTGTCCTCAACACGCCAAGGTGCTACACGGTACTGTATACCGCACCAGCCACCCAGCCCAAACGCCCTTGGGATGTCCTTGCATTCCTCGGGTATCAGTGCGAGGTTGATGGCTCACAAGGAGCCGCGTAGAGTAGAGGCTGTGTTCAAGGCTGAATTAGATTTCCTACCTCATCTTCACCCCCATTCTAGGACCCCGGTGAACAGTTTACTTGGATAAACAGTAGCAACGCGGCACGGTCAGAACCTGGGGTCTCATCTGAATAAGTCCAATGTTAAGAAACTACATAGCGCTTCTCATGGCTGGTCAACTCGCTCCTTGGCTCTTATCTGCACAAAAAAATGCAGCCTTCTATTTATAGCTGCATTAGCAAAGAGGTACAACCCCCGCTGGTGTGGATGTAGTTGTATTGGTATGAAAGTCCATATTCCGGTATATCTATCGTGTATGGGAAAGGGAATAAATGATACGGAGAGAAGGCTGTTTTATATGGGTGGCATTGCAGTCAGACTAGGAGCTGGACCACTATGACCAACGCTAAGATGAGCACATTGGTACAAACCTCTTGTCCAGACACAGTCTGATTTCAGATGGAGCTTGCTTTGAAGGCATGGTATTGATGGTGGATGCATTTATGCTTTCAGATTTCCCATGTCCTAGCCTCTGTGTCACCCAGGCTAGCCCCAGGTTAGCATCCAACCACTGTTCCCCTCCAACTAGGGCAGGTGCAAGAAAAAAGCATCTGCTACAAGAGTCCAAGCCAAGGGGCACAAGAGAAGCTCTCCTGGGGGGCCATCAGAGACCAGCTAAAACTGCAGCCCCCACCCAATCCTCTGGAACTAAGTCAGAATCACAGCCCAGGATCCACTCCTTCAGGATCTGGGCTAGATCACCATCCAAAGGGGTCTAATTTCCCAGCTGGGGTCACTTGACCCCAGCGCTCTTACCTACCCAGAGCAGGGGGTCAGGCTTGATGATCTAATAGGTCCCTTTTGACCCTAGAAATCTATGAAATCTATGAAATTTTGGCAGCATTTCCCTGTTTGTGCAGGTTTCAGCCAAGGGTTAAGTGTGGGATTCCTGTCTGTTGGGAAGCTGCAGCCTGGGGACCTTTCAAGGGGTCTCACTCACATGACCAGTGATCAGACTGCACCTGGCCGGGCGCGGGGGAAGACAGGCTGCTCCGCGGAGTCCAGTTTCACACTGTCTTCTGAAATGTTCTGTGTCCATTTGGTGAGGAGTTTGCATAAGATCAAAACTAAGTAAGTAACACCTCGGAAAGTCCTG